AATGATTGTAGAGAAATGAAATTTGGGCATATAAATCAGTAGTTAGTTTTTTAATAATACCATCTGTGATTTTTTTTCTATTCCTTTGGAATCTTCTTCTCTTTAAGGTATCTTAAAAACTAATTCCCCAGTTTTCTTTAAAATTCCATATTAGGCCCTTTGACCTAGCAATATCACTTTAGGACTGTATCCCAAAGAGATCCTACAAATGGGAAAAGGACCCACATGTACAAAAATATTTATAGCAGCTCTTTTTGTGGTGGCAAAGAATTGGAAATTGAGAGGATGCCCATCAATTGGGGAATGGCTGAGCAAGTTGTGGTAAATGAATGTAATGGAATACTATAGTGGTATAAGAAATGATGAGCAGGCAGTCTTCAGAAAAACCTGGAAAGACTTGTATGGTCTGACACTAAGTGAAGTGAGCAGAACCAGGAGAACATTGTACACAATAACAGCCACGTTGTGCAATGATTAATAATGACAGGCTTAACCCTTCTCAGCAATACAAGGATCTAAGACACCTCCAAAGGCCTCATGATGGAAAATGCTATCCACATCCAAAGAAAGAACTATGGAGTTTGAATGAAGATCCAAGTATAATATTTGCTATTTTTTTCTTCTGTTGTGTTTTTTTTCCTCTTTCTGGTGGTTCCTCCTATTGGTTCTAACTCTTACTCATAACATCACTAATATGAAAATATGTTTAATAGGAATGTATAGCCTATATCAGATTGTGCGCCATCTTGGGGAGGGAGGTAGGAAGGAAGGGGGAGAAAAATTTAAAACTCAAAAGGTTTATGGAAGTGATCGTTGATAAATCAAAATAAATTAATTAAAAAAAATTCCATATTAGGTTGGCCAGTGTTCCTCCTAGAGCAACTTCCTTCTAAAACACAAAGCCAGAGGTGATTTCAGCTATTTGTGATTCAGGCAAGATATACTAGACAACATCTGATCTTTCATCTTCCATTATTTGTCATACTGTACTGGAATATGCTACCTGTGAGACTAGCAACCAGTCTACAAGCTCTACCATCATCCACTCAATATGATGCTTGTGTAAGAAGAGTTCCACAGCAAGCCTGATGGAACAATGAGTCTCTATTATCTATACTCAGCCACTCACTTGTCTCCTCAGAGACATATTGAAAAGTCTTTTCACTATCTAACTTGAGGAAATGCTGCTGCGCCCAAAGAATAGGTTTCTGGTTCTCACACTTGTAAGTTGGGGGAGGGGGGAATTGTTTTTATTTATTTTTTAACCCCTCAAAAAATTAAAGGGTTAAAAAAAGGCATTCAGTGTAGTCAGTCATGCAATCAAACAGTATACATTTATTAAATACCTAGTATGTGTCCAGCACTGTGCTAAGCACTAGGGATACAAAGAAGGGCAAAAAACCAATTGCTGTTCTCAAGGCACTTAAAGTCTAATGTACAATATAATCAGATATGTGAGTTAAATTATTCATACATAGAAAAGAAATGCTTAACACAGGTCATTCACAAATATATATTTGACAAGAACAAACTTAAAACAGGATTCAGAAACAAATTACGGTCACAGCTACAATCTTCATGGAGACTAATACTCTATCCTCATCAGAACACAAAGCAGTCTGCAGGATTGCTAATACAGCATTTTAACATTTACTTTGTCATTGTGCTGTCCAAACCACTCCCAGTGTATGTCTCTTGATTAAAAGGGCCAGATTTGGGTCAATCCTCTTCTCTCTGATATAAAAGCTCTCCTATCTCTAGCCCACCTTTGCCATTGCCATGATTTACTCATTGGATTTCTCATTTACTCATTGGATTTCTCAACTAATCAAATTTCCAGGGTCATTTTCAAGCCTGAACACATCTAAGTCATGTTGGGTCACCTACTCAGGAAAGGAAATATAAAGCAAAAAAAAAAGAAAGAAAAAAAGAAAAGAAAAGAAAAGAAAAAAGCAGCCAAGACCCCAGGTGCAAGCTTGCCTATGGATCTTTGTGTGAGGGGGGACCCCACCCCACAAACAGGAGTTTAGAGACAAAATATATTACTTGCCGTACAGCAGAGTCAAAACCAAAAGATTAAGTGGGAAATTGCTCTTTTAATAGATCTAAAATGCTGCTTCCCTCTACCCCCCAATAACTCTTCCTCATCATCTCTTCCATAGAGCAGGGAATGACCAAGGAAACACTTAAGGTTTACCCTATCATACTAAACAACAAGGTCCTTTCAGCACTAGGACAGAACCTGGTAAGAAGTAGGCCCCAAAGTACCATCTGGTTGATAGAACCAGAAATGGAAACGTTGAACATGCTCCAGGGAGGAAGGGGGAATAGATCTTCCTGGCTACAACTCTCACCACTATCTCTCCAATGCCACCTCTCTTCACATATAAAAGGACACCTACAATATCCTCTTATCATAGCCACTACCCTCTTTGCTGTCATCTTCAGTTTCGAATATGGTCTTTAATTTCTCAAAATAATAACCACTGGCATTTTGGTTACTTCCTAGTGCCTTTAAATACTTCCCCCCACCATCAAATTACAATCACTTGCTTCCCAAACAACATCAGAAGATGGGAAGGAATCTTTCCCCAAAGAAAGTTCTTAATTTTCTTTTCTTATTTCAGCCTTACTGAGTTAATCATCCCAGATTCCTAACAGAACCTCCCCACAGAGGCCCGCCCTTTACCTCCTTTTTTCCCAGGAATGATCCAGTCTCTTTAAAGGCCCATAAAGTATCCTTTTGATAATCCCCATTTGCTTGGAGAACTGAGCATCTGTTTGTCTGGTGTCCTACTAGGCTGATGAGTCTGTGTAGGAAAAGCCACTGATGGCTTGTGTCTATACCTTTCTTCGGTAAACCTTCCCCTTTACCCTTTTTGCAGTAAACAGAATAGTGCTAATGGTCACTAGAAGGATGTCCTCAGATCTCCTTTCTTGCTGAAGTATTTCCATTCAAGGTGGAGGCTAGAATTTAAAAGTCCTGCCCACCTGGGTTTCCTTCTTACCTCCAAATATAAAGTCTCTTGAGCCCCTTTCAATGAGATTAAAAGAACCTTTATCAACTTCCTTACCCTCTACCACATCTTAGCTACCTAAAGCCCCTCAATCCAGCAATCAAACAATCAACAAGCATTTATTAAATGACTGCTGTTCTTAGTACTGGGGACACAAATGCAAAGAATGAAACAATCTCTACTTTCAAGGAGCTTAGAGAATTCTAGATTCTAATTTCTATGTGTTGGTGAAATTATAGGAGTGATCTCAGCCTGCATTTGTTCAGGGACATGGCTCAGCTTTCCCTTTAAGATAGGGTGATAATGCCTGCACCTTTGACCTAGGTACTTCTGGAAATGTGGGCCAAACGTGTTAATGTTTTACTTGACCACACATTCATATTTGTTAAAAGGGAGGGCTTTCACTCAGGGTGCTGAGGGAGGTAGAGTGAGTTAGATGGTAGTATAGATATGAAAAAAAAGAATTAATAAATCAGTTTTTTAAATTCATAGAAGAAAAAAATACCAATTTTGTTAATACTGTGTTTTTCTTACTACTTTGTTAAGTTTCAGACAGAGAGATAGAAATTTTTTAACTGTGCATAACACAGAATCACATTCTCATTTACAATCCTCTTTCTTGTTCTTTTTTGTATCTTGAAATGGTTGTTTGTTGATGATTAAGTTCACAATAAAAGCGAAAAAATTCTTCTTTTTGAAACAAAGAGATAGCAAGTGACTATACCCTGGAAAACTGAAATCACTGGCTCACTTCTAATGTGTCTTAGCCCATTTTTTTCCCCTGTTTATCCATAAGATCCCCTTGAACCTTGTCCTAGCAACAATGGCCTATCATAAGAGCTGTTTTGAAATGGCAGGAACTCTTTCAATACATAGCAGTTTCCTTCTCCCTAGAAACCTTTAGGTAAAGGCTACTGAACCACTTAGTGGGTCAACAAAACATTATTTCCTAATTTTTTAATAAAGACTTTAAAATAAAACTTTTCTTTGTAAGATGGTTAAGTAGATTGCAAGTAGACCATCTATTTCAATCTACTGGAATACTTCCCGCAGAACTCCTAAGGAAACCATACCTCCAGTTTCTATTCCTTTCCTTTATCTATCTATATCTATCTATCTATCTATCTATCTATCTATCTATCTATCTATCTATCTACCTACCTACCTACCTATCTATCTATCTGTCTGTCTATCTGTCTATCTGTCTGTCTATCTATACTTTGTCTTCTTTGATAGTTCCTGCCCTCAAGGAGCTTATAACCAGTTTCATTTTTTCCTTTGTATCCACAAAATCTAACACAGAACTCAGTCCTTAAACACTTATTAAGGCCCTACTATGTGCCAGGTACTGTGCTAACTGACACATAGGCATTTAAATGCTTATTTGTTTGATTTGCTTCTGCACTTTATAACTTCTCTCCTATACAAACTGTGTTTTCATATATATGTACTACATACCTAAATATATTCTTAGGTATGTGTGTACATATGTGTATATATCCATGCTCATACTGCATATGGACATGCATGGGTGTGCTTATCTTCATATGTACATACATGATCTTGAAGACATGTGATTATGTTGTACACATGTGTAATTACGTTCCCACGGCTTCATATTTCAGTTCAGTCTATGCACGCCCTTAGTGCTGACATTTTCAATGAGAAACGAAACATCTAGTTAAGTTAATTTAATAGCCGAACAAATCAAGAGGGGTCACACAACATCCCTCGGATCCTTGGGGTAGCGTTCTTGCTTTTCCTTATTTAAGATGGACACCAGAACCCTCTGCAAACAGTTACTATGGTTGCTCAGAGCGTCCAGGAAAGGTTTCTATTTCTCGCCTCCACTTGCCCACAGCAAAGATGGCGCCTGATTGACAGGCGTCTGCGCCAATAAGGATGGCGCCGCTGCGGACGCCAGGGAAGAAGCGGAGAGGGAGAAGGCGGGCGCGGCTGCGTCATCTCCGGCGCGCCGCGGAGATGGAGCGGTTGCTAGAGCAGTTGGAGCGCTTCGCCGAGGTGCTGGCCGCGTCCCGCACGCGCCACGCGGGCAGTTGGGGGCGCGTGTCCGTGCGCCGCTCCCTGCGCTGGGCCCGTTACCTGCGTCACGTGCACGGGCGCTTCCGCCGCCGCGGCCCAGTGCGGGGTGCGCTGGAGGAGGGGCTGCGTCGGCTGCGGCTGCGGCCTCGGGCCGAGGCCCACGCGGGGCCCTGCTTGGCGTCGGGGCCGGGGCCGCTGCGGAGCTTCGAGGGCTTGGGGCGCGGGGACGAGCTGCTGGCGCTGGGGCTGCTGGAGAACGCGGCCGTGCGAGGCCCCGCGCTGCACGAGCTGCTCCGGCACCTGCGGCCCGAGCGCGGGGAGCCCGAGGAGGACGAGGAGGACGAGGAGGACGAGGCTGGGCTGCGAGATCGTCTGGCCGAGCTGGCCCGCCGCAAGGCCGCCTCCCAGCTGCTCCTGCAGCTGCTCGGCCCCGACCCCGCCCAGGCCGAGCCCGTGCTTCGGAGAACCGAGGCCGAGCTACTGCTGCAGCGGCTCCGCGAAGAGGCTGAGGGCGAGGCCGAGCCCGGGGCCGAAGCCCTGCTCCTGGACCTCCTGTGGGTGCAGCTGCCCCGGCCCCGCTGGCTGGACGTGGTTACTGAGGCGCTGCTGCTGCAGCCCACGCCCCGGCCCGACGGGGATGAAGACGAAGAGGATCCGGGGAACCAGACGGACCTCGGGCCGAGTGCCGCCGAGGCCCTGCTGACCTGGATCCTGGCGCGGCCGGCCGCGCTGGCCACCCTCTGCCGCCTGCTGCCCGCCCCCGTCCTCTCCTCCCTGGCCGCCCGCTACCCGGCGCTGGCCGAAGCCTTCCTGGACCTGCTTGCACAGTGGGGCGGCCATCTACAATTCGACCTCGTGCAGGGCACCTGGGTCGGGACCGGACCCGAGAGGCTGTCCTGGGAGCGCCTCCGCGACTGCTTTCAGTGTTTCTGCCAGAGCCCGACCTCCCTGAGAAGCCAGACTCTGAGAGTCCTGAACAGCTACAGGGCCTTGGACGGGAGCTTCGGCGCCCCGGGGCTCAGCGTGTGGACAGACCTGCTGCGGGACCTCGGAGAGTACGAGCCCACGGGAGAGGCCGAGGATGCTGAGACCGGGGCAGAGATGCCCGCGATTCTGGACTTGGGGTGCAGGCCCTAGCCTGTGAGCTCCCATAGGGAGAAAAGTGCCCCAGATCTGCCTCAAGAGTGGCCTTTGGCCTTTCAACACAGTTTACAGGAACTAACGTTAACTGGACATTCATCCTGAACATACCCATCCTACATGTACACAAAGTGCAAAAAGTTATCCCCAATACTCCAAAAAGAACCCAAACCCTAGTTTTTCCCTCATTCTCTACCAGCGCTTTAAATTAGGAATGCCTTTGACTGATGCTATATAATCTTTGTCAAAAAATGGTCTATTTGACTTTAAATGGGGTGTGCCTTCTGCAGTTATTTAAATGTTTTCCTTTACGTTGTTGATAGTATTTTTTTAAAGAATCTCTCTAAAGAAAGGATTTAAATTAAGCCTCTGTCTTTTGGGCAAGCCCTAGAAGTTCCTCCAATTCTGATTTTTCAGATATAATACATTTTCAGTAGTGTTAGTGTGGAGAATGAGCTCAGTAAAGAAAAGCGTTCACAAAAGGTTTTTTGTTTAATTTTTCGTTGGTGCTTTCTGTATTAAAATCACAGTCATTTCTGGAAATGCCTCTTCTCCCTTACCCAGTTGAACACTGCTTTTTAACAAAGGAAAAGCTAAGCCAATGCAATCGGTGTTGTGATCTGTTCTGACATTGTATACAAGCGTCTTGTCTTTCATTAGGGAGGAATGGTGATAAGCTTGATCACTTTTATCTGTAGATCATACATTTTCGAGCTGGACTGACCTTACATACAATTTGGTACAAGCCCCTCATTGACTGAAAAGAAAACAGAAAGGTCAAATGTCTTGCCCAAAGATACTTAGTCAGTATAATGGATTTGAGATTCAAGCTCAGGTATTGAACTACGGTTCCTGGGGAGTTAGAGGTTTGGGGTGGGAATAGAAACGGAAAGGATGAAGTGGAGAGAACAGATTCTCTGGTGGTGGGCCATTTGGTCAGCAGTGGCTGGCATCAGAGGAATGTGGAGATAGAAGTGGAGGAAGCTGCAGCAGCTAGCCGTTCTTAGATAGAACTTCATAAATCAGGAACTAATTCCTGGCTGTGGATTCACTTGGCATCGCCCTAAACAGTCAGACTACTCAGTTATGGCTCATAATTCAGAGGGACAGCCACCTTTTATGGCGATGTGCTCTTATGTCACATAATAAGCAAATGTTGATGATATGTGCATGGCCAAGTTTTCTGAGAACACAGTTTTAAAAGTTATGAAAGTGTCATAATCAGCAGCATTGTGATCAAGGGAGTTATTTTTCCTCTCATTTGTCATACAGATGACCTAAACCCAGAAAGATAGTGGTGATGGGCCAGCAAACTAGAGCGGAGTAGGGAAAAAGTCCTAGTTTAGATTGAAAAGCTGAATCAGACTAAATGCCTGATGTAATATATTACATCTTGTTATATTTTTAGATTTTGCTTCAAGAAATACTAACGAAGTATATACAATTTGGCTCTTACCTGTGGACTGCTCAATAGCTTAACTTCATTTTGAGCAGAAATGTGTATCTGCTATTCTTCTTTTGGAATAGTGGTTAACCTTTGTGATCCTCCGTCAACATGCCAGCTGAGTCATGAGATTCACTACATAAACTATGCCAGATGACTGAGGCTCTGATTTATAGGTTTTATATTTTTGTGCTTTACTGTCAAATTTTGTCCTCTTCACTAGCAGGCCTCAGAATTTGTAATATATGATCCCTACCTTTTGCTGCTGAAATTATAATAAAGAATGTCAAAAATGTAAGTTAGAGGATAAATATCCTATCTTTAAAGGGTTTCACGGTGTTTTTCTGAGCCATGATTTGATTCCAGGCCTGATGCCAAGTCTGGTCCCTTTTCTCCCACATGACTGAGTGGTTCAAGGAAGCGTATGAAGGAAGACAGTCTCAAAGGGATGGATGTTTTGAGGCCTACCTTTTAGATAAAATGGTTTGTGGATAAAAAGATGGCACTGTCCCCCCGGTCTGTGATTCTTCTCCAGTCCATTTCTTTCTCATTTTTCCTACATGCCAAGTCCAACAGTAAGTCTAGTTTGTTTTGCTCTGTACGTAGGTGAATTTATGGAAAGATCCCCCAGCCTGAGGGAAGACTTGGTCCAAGTTGCACAGCTGACTTCAACTCTCAGTGTACCTGAGGGAAATCGCCTCTCTGGGCTTCCATTTCATCATCTGTAAAATGAGCAAAGCCGGACTATCCAATGTCTAAGATCCTTTCTAGTTCCAGCATTCTCTTAGTGTCTGCCTGCCTCCCAGAAACAGTATTAGGAATGTTTTCTCCATTGGGAGAGGCAAATCAGGCTTCTTTACCACCTAGCCCACCTCTTCTCTTTGTTTCCCGTATTTAACCCTGAGTTTTAGAGCTGGAACATTTTTTTTCAGAGGAGAAATAATCAAATCTGTATATATACCTTTTTAAGACCCTAAGCCCAGGAGTGACTGAAGACACCATTGTCCTAAGGGTTTAAAAACACTCTTACTTGTCTCACTTCTGAGCAAAGTACTGGTCACACATGCCCAGGTCTCCAAACACATATGCCTCATTCATTGTCTTGAGGAGGGGAACCAGCCAATTCTGAGAGAGCAAGGAACCATTATGGCTTGGGGTGAGGGAGCCAAGAAGCCCCAGTTTACCTTACCTGGAAAGGTATGATCTTACACTCTTGCCTCTTAGAACTCTTGGGACTTTGTCTAATTTGGTTCAGCTCACTCAATTTATGATCAGACACCATCTTGGGTCTTAAACATTGTTTGGGAAGTATGTTCAGGGTTCTATTTCTTTAAATGGAAAAAAAAAAGGCAGTAAAGTGATGAGAAAACTTCAACACAGCTCTGCCCTAGTTAGATTGTTTTATACAAAGAATTCAGTGCTGTGATAGATGTAGAAAGATAGATATAGCTAGCTTCCTAGATAACTCACTTAGCTAAAGCATTTATTAAACTTACATACCTTACCGGGCTAGGTGGGGCATGCTACCTCATTGTGTGAAGATACCTGGGAAATGCTAATTTCTCCTAGATCTGTCAGCATGTGCATTTACACATCTGTTTATCTATATTCCACCTTCCGGTGGCAAGTAAACTTCTTGAATGATTTATTTTTATCTGTGTCTCCTAAGCTTAGCACAGTGACTTTCACGCTGTGTTTAATAAATGCTTGTTGAATTGGAGAGGAAGGAAAAAGGACCCCTTGCCCTGCAACCACATTTCCTATGTTATTTCCACCTCTGATAATGAAGAATGTTGTTAGTCTGTATCCTCTCAGGCATTACTGTATTTGAAAATGCATACAGCAACTCTGCTAGATTTGGATCACGTTTTAAGTCAGAATTCAGCTGTTGTGGTTAGAGTACCTCTTTTCATTGGTTTTACCTGTGGTTTATATGGTAGCTCCGCCATCAGCGTCAGCTCTTGGAGCTCAGAAACAGTAGACCAGACCAAAACATATGGGCTGGTTATGTAGGGAAAGACCTGCCCTCACTGGCAATATGGGAAGCCAGGGTATTCAGAGTTTTAAAAATTAATTAATGTAAATTGTCCGGGAAGGAATCATTGATTTCTTCTAGGAGTTAATTGGGCGTGATCAATCATTAAGTCCAAAGTGTGACAACCAAGTCATTTGTCATATGCTAATTGTCACCGTGGGGGAGGAGTGCCCTCTCAGCTTAGAAAAGATGGTGTACCCTAGGGAAATGAGTTTAAATCATCCCAGTACTGATAATTAATGTGTGTACAACTGTCTCTGGAAGCTTCATTACTCTTAATATTGAGGTAAAGGTTGAGTGCAGGAAGGAACCTAGGGTTTTGAAGTTTTATGGTAATTTTATTCTTTTGGTCCCATGAGTGGTCAGCCATCATTTCTTGGGATATGTTTTATGCTGCAGTGGCAGAAAAGCTCAAGAATATAAGGAGCAAGAATGAATAAGAATACACAGTGTATTTTACACACCTGACACCTTAATTTGTACTGTGGATAAAATGTGATGTGAACTAAATTCTGTGAAATGCATACAGGCTAGAGATGTATTACAATATTTGGAGTTTGGATTTCTTACTTTGACATTTCAAATGGATTTGTTTAAAGCATATTTGTTTTTGTTCTTGCTCACACCAAAGAAATCCAGTCTTTTATACCATATAACCTTTAAAGAAATACATTTATATTGTAAAGTGGCATGCAGTACATTTTAGTAAGAATGACAATGTTAACAGATTCTGGAATAGAGATGCTGATTTTAAGTTACGGATCTAAATCCTCCTTAGTGGCTTTAGAGAATATGCCTGGACACATTTTGCAAATGGCCCATAAATATGTAAATCTGTTATTTCATTCCTCAATTATTTTTTATTGTTGCATTTGCAATGTATAAATATTTTGCATTATTTTGCATTGCAAGCTGTGTGGAAGATAGCTGTTCATAAGCATTTCAAGAATTCTCCATATAATTAACAAATATTTATAAGGTAATTTATTCCAATGCCAGGCTTTTATTTATGAATGTTAAGACTTCAAAATCTGCATGGATTGATTATATCATGAATACACTATGAATCTCCTAAAAATGATAGTTGCTATCTTCACACTGAGCCTGCTTAACCATGCTTAAGTCAATAATCAATTTTAAAGTTCGAGCTGAACATAAGGTCTGGCTGGACATGGGATTTATCTGTGAAATTCTTGGTGTGGACACTGCATCCGGTGCTATCGAGAACCAGCTCCCCTATCATATCTAGTAATTTAGAGGTTTGCTGGAGATACTGAAAGGTTGAGTGACTTGTAATGGTGACTTAGCTAGGAGGAGTAGGACTTGTTTTCTTGACACTGTGGCTGACCATCTATACAATATTCCACATCACCTTTCAAACAAACATATTGTGACTATGCAGGAATGTATGTATAAGTATGTATATACATGCATACATATATAGTCATACTATATTATTGTTTATGTATATGCATATTATGTTGCCTTTTCCATTGATATATTACATTATATATTATGATGTATATTATGTTGCCTTTTCTGTTGTTTAATATATTGCATTATATATTATGTGATATATAATATGGCCTTTTTCTATTGTATAATATATAGGTGATAGATAAGTAATAGAAAAGATAAAGAATAGAAAAGGACAGGCAATACAGATTACAAAATGTCAAATATGTTTATTTTTCCGGAAGTCATATCTGGTAGTTTTACAAATATTCTAGACATGAGTTGAAAAATATTTCTGTCTTTTATTTGACCAATGCAGAAAAACACAGCAGATCAT